ACGTATCCTTGGTATTACCTGGCATGACAAAGTTCCAAATAGCTCAGTATTGGAACGTGCTAGAATTTCTAGCATATATACACTATTGAAATAGCAACTGGCTTGGGCATGTCGTGAGAATGGCTGATGGTCAGATTCTGAAAGATCTCCTGTATGGAGAATTAGTGCAGGGAAAGTGCCTTAGAGGGAGACCACAGCTGCGATATAAGGATATTTGCAAGAGGGGTCTAAAGGCCTTGGAAATGGACATTAATGACTGGGAAACCTTGACCTCTGATTCAGGGATGGGTTCTAAAAATTTTTACTACCGGTTCTGTGGGCGTGGCTTATTTTGTGGGCATGGCTTGGTGGGAGGATAATATGACTGGGTGGGTGTGGCCAACTTTTTTTTTAACTTTTAAAAGCATTTTTTCTACAACCTTAAGAGGTTGCAGAAAAAAATTCTTTTAAAAGCCGCTGACGACCAGGCAACTCAGCTGGGATCGCCAGAGGCTTTTAAAGGCATTTTTTTTCCTACAACCTCTTCGGCTAAAGAAGTTGTAGATCGTCCCAGCTGAGCTGCACGATCATCAGAGGCTTTTTTCTTTTACTTTTAAAAGTATTTTTTTGGCCGAAGAGGTTGTAGAAAAAATGCTTTTAAAGTTTTTTTTTTTAAAAAAGCGGGGTAGGCGGGGTATGCGAGCAGCGACCGGGCTGGGGACCGGTTCGGGGGCATGGCCAGCCAATGTTATTACCGGTTCTCTGAACTACTACAAAATTTTACTACCAGTTCTTGTGAACCGGTGCGAACCGGGAACCGGTGCAACCCACTACTGCTCTGATTGTTCAGCTTGGAGGCTAAAGATGCAGCATGGCCTTCTCCAATTCGAAGCGACACTTGTTCAGCAGGCTGAGGCAAAGAGGCAGTCTTGGAACCAGAGAAATCTGGGGGCTGGGCAGGGGACAGAATGCATCTGCCCTCAGTGTGGAAGGGATTGCCACTCTCGAATTGGCCTTTTTAGTCACACCAGATGTGTTTTAGGACCTCTTTCTAGAGCACGATACCATAGTCTTTTGAAACTGAAGGTTGCCAATGATGAATCCTTAAATCAAACATAGACTTTCCTGCAGACTATCCTCTGAAGTGGGACACATATAAAGATAGATACAAATTCTTTTTTCAAGAATTGTTATATAACTAATGTATTAAAAGCTTCATTTGTTACTATGGTATTTTCTGTATCATTCATAGTACATAATCTAAAACATTCAAATTTTGTGTTCTAATGTTAGAAACATCTAACTTTATTAGATTTATTTTTTAGCAAGCACATTTAGAATTAACCAATCCAGGGACCATTGCTATTGGCTATTTTTTAACTCCTTTCCCCAACCCCAGAAAAACAGAAATATTTGTGTTTCAATAAAGTAGCTACTATAACAGATTTGCTGATATTTATTTATTTATTTATTGGTTCGATTTATATGCCGCCCTTCTCCGGAGACTCAGGGTGGCTTACAAGGCGTTAAGCAATAGCCTTCATACTTTTGTATATACCTGCTTAGTAGCGGTGTTCTTTTTTATACAAAGTCAGCTTATTGCCCCCACAATCCGGGTCCTCATTTTACCTACCTCGAAAGGATGGAAGGCTGAGTCAACCTTGAGCCTGGTAAGATTTGAACTTGCAGTAATTGCAAGCAGCTGGTGTTACTTAACAGCACTTTAGTCTGCTGCACCACCAAGGCTCTATAATATTATCTATTATGTAAAGACCATTACAAACTCCAGAGGTATTTCTAGGAAACAAACATCATTGAATACTGATGAAAATCCAAAAGTTGAACACAGAAACCATAATCAGTCCTGATGATATGATAAGGGAAAACAAAATGATTTTATAAAAATGTCTGTCCGAAGTAAATGCATTCAATTGCATTTAGAATTAGTGTAGCACAGCCAGTTTCCATATGTTCATAGCTCCAAATGTCCTTTTTATTGGTTTGATTATGTTTCTCTTGGGGTTTATTCAAAGGCACAAAACTATAGCAAACAATTGTCCATTTTTATTTGAGAATAAACTGCAATATTTACATAGTAATACTTAAATTCTGGGACAGGATAAGGCCAATATCTATCTACTTATTTACCTCATCTTTAGTCACTAGTCCCTACATATAAAGATGAATGCAAAAACTGTCAAAATACAGAGAACATTTGCTAGGCATAGCTGTGAAATGCCATATAAAATACAAAATGAAGATGTGGACCAGCTCTTTTATTTTTTCAGTAAGCAACTTGTATTTAGTTTGTGGTGACTCTAAAATTGCTTTGCATGGTATATCTAGGTTTCAGTTTGCCGAATATCCATCTAGACTAGGGTGGAGAACATCAAAAACAACTGCCTGTGTGACTTAGTAGCTAACTTAATTGATTAGAGAAAGTTTCACGTCTCCACTTTGGAGCTATTGTTTAATGTATCCTGTTTCTTTCCAGATCTGAAACTGTCTTTGAGGGAACACAGTTCAAGATAATTTATTAGACATGGACACCATTTCCAATCCATAGCATTTGGAATATATTAAATCTATCTTGGTAGAGAGGCATAGACATCTGGAGGAGGAATAAAGGTGGTGAAGGAAAAAAAAGATATAACAATACAAACTCCATCTCTTATAGACTTTGTGTGACATTGTGATACAAGTAGAAAAGGATGAGCTTGCATCATAATGTTAAAATGCAGCTTTTGGTATCACCATGAATAGAAACACATATCTAAACAGATAGGTTGATAGGTAAATAAATGTCAGGCTCAAAGCACCAAGAATGACACAATGAGTTTTCAAGTAGTTTCTTTATTTCTGTTTGCCTATAGACAGGAATCTTGCCAGACTAAAGCACACTCTGCAGAATTATCAGATAAATCTAGTGAAAGGTTTAAGAGAGGATCCCTATTGGCCTCTTTCTGCAAACAAAGGACTCAAAGCTGATTTGTCTCTTAGCTCCCTGGGAAAGAGCCTCTCCCTCTTCCAACTAGATTCCACCACAATGAATGTTTGAACCTATTTATTCCTTAATGTTCAATGTACCATACAAATCAAGTACACAATAATGTGAAATCAGACTCATTCTAGAAATGGGCAAGTACTCAGAAATGTTAATAAGATACTGCTCTGATTCCTTTATCCAAATCCATACAAAGCACAGTAGATTGAAAAACTTTGTGTGGTAATTGGTTGTTCATGGCTTTCAGTAGTAAGAAGTGATCTTTGGCAACAAAATCCTGGTAAAAATTGTATGTAACTTAATGCATACTCCCATGAATGTATGAATAGCTACAATCTAATGGCTGCAATAGCAGTTCAGTTGCCAAAGTGTAATAAGAACTTGTGCTTCCCTGCTTCTCTAACTGCCATAATTCTTGGCTCCTTAATCATTTATATTACTAATATGCAGTGTGGAAAAGGTCTTAGAACAAAGGTGGGATTCATTCTAAGGGCACTGTAGGTCAGTGATTTAAAGTTCAACTATTTTAGTTTCTTATTCCTTGCCTATAGCCAACTTTGCAGATTCATTTTGCTAGGAATTATATTCATCTCTTACTACAGTTCTTTGAAGCAAAGCATCTAGTTGTGGGATTTGGTTTATCTTTATCCAAATATTCTAATTCAGAGGAGGGCTTATATGCATCCCACATCAAGAACTCCCTTAATTCATCATCTGAAGAATGGTATATTTTCTGTTACTTTGGATGCTCTAAGACTGAAAGAAATTGTGCAGCTATTGCCTCTCTTCATAGCAGGGTTGTTTTGTTTTTTGCTTTGTTTTATTGATAGGGGAAAAGTGACATGCAAATTAGAAGCCAAAAAAAATACAATATCACTGTAATAATTTCAAAATTGAATTGAATTGAGTGCCATTCTATGAATGAAATGGAATCATTAAAGAATGAAATCATGATTTGAATCATTCCAAATGTGACTTTTGTTTTCCCATTTACTTGGTCTGTACAAATGCCATTATAAAGTTTTTTGGAAATGCATGATATTAGAAAATGAGTATTCAGGTATTCTGAAATTTTGAAAACAAAGTTATCAAACTTTACTTTTCAGTCTTATTTATTTTGAAGATAAAGAACAGTTATCAAATGTAATGTTATAGATTAAATTTTATAAAAAATAATTCTAGAATTCATAAAATATTTCTCTGCTGGATTTTCAAGGTAGAGGAAAAAAATCACACTCTACTAAATAGCATGTCTTTAATAGATAATAAAATCCACATCAAATGGATAGGATGTCAAGATAGGATGTCTGGGTTCTTACAACAATAGAATAGTTTAAGCTAGGGGAAAGGCAAATTAAAGGCTGCACTATAATATGTAATATTGTGCATATTCCTAGAAGCTATGTTTTTTAATTTGTAAAATATGATTTATCAAGTCAACAAGTTGGATTAAAATGCGAAGAAATAAAATATGGCTCCTCCTCTTTTGCCAGGTTTCAGAATAAACAAAGATTGTTATGGCTATTTCAGAGGATCAGTGTATTTTGGGTGTAGCTAATGAGAATGCTTTTCAACAAACTTGGCTGCTGCTTTTATATTTAAACGTTTAACTATGTAATTTGTTTTTAGAATAACAGATTTTTAACTTTTAAATAATTTAAAACTGAATGAAAAATAAATGAATAAATTGGTGTATGTATTTGTGTGTTTGTGTGTGTGTTTATGTGTGTGTGTGTATCAATAAGCTTTTTCTAGGCCTAAGAGAGAATGATTGACTCAAGGTCACCCAGCTGGCTTTGTGCCTAAGAGAGGACTAGAACTCACAGTCTCTCAGATTTTAGTCTAATGCCTACACTAAAGTGTCTCTCAAATATACATACATGGATACAAACACATATAGTACAAAATAACAATGGAAACTAATATGATGTAATTTCATGATTTAAGATAGTACTATACAAATAATAAACAAGTAGTGCAACAAAGCTCTCTCTCTCTCCTTCTTTCTCTCTTTCAGGTTGTCCCTGCTATGTAATGTAAATCTCATCAAGTCAAGCTCCATTACATGTGATTACATTGATCCATCCATATTGTTTTCTAGCAGGGTGCCATTGCTTGTGGGAAGGGTAAGCAGGTAAAAATGGAATGTGCATGTACTGTAATCCAATTCTGTCTAGTACTTGAAGATCAGCCACGGTTGGCTAGGTGCTGTCTTTACATATAGTTTATAGTATGAGAACAAATGCAATTGAAATATGGAAAAAAACCAAATGTTAACTATTACTATGCAACTACCCGTGTTTCCCCGAAAATAAGACCAGGTCTTATTTTCTTTTGGATCCCAAAATAAGCACTAAGGCTTATTTTTAGGGGTGTCCTCTTTTTTTCCCCCATTTATGGGAGGCCCACTTCTTCTGCTTGCTCAAGATGGGGCAGGAGCAGTGGTGGGTTGCTACCGGTTCTCCCCGGATCGGAAGAACCGGTAGCGGTGCTGGTGGGAGGCTCCACCCACCTGCCTGGATGCTTCTGTGCATGTACAGAAGTATTGCGCGTGTGCATAAGTGCAAGAGCACCCACGAGTGAATCAGTAGTGACGGGTTTTGAAACCCGCCCCAGGCAGGGGGTTGCATGGTGCACCAGTGCCACACCATCGTGAGGCAGGGGGGTGGAGCTGCCCCACGTGCCCTGCACCAGCTTATCTCAGGGCCCTCACAGCCAGGCCATCCACTCCTTGACACCTGCCTCACCTCACAACCATGGGCTTATGTTAGGCACACACATAAAAGAATGTTAGGTCTTATTTTCAGGATAGGTTTTATTTTCAGGGAAACAGGGTATTAGTTTTTGGAATGGATAATTCTAGCAATTATTTGCTACAATTCCGTAGATCTGAATCTTTCGATGAACCCATTCACAATCATGTTGGCTCCTAATATCATAACATTTGTAGTGTGATATGTGCTTAAATTATGAATGCTAAATAAATAATAAGCAAAAATAAGGTGTGAAAGTTTGAGGCTAAGATTACTTCTTGCAAATACAAAAATTTTGATTGCGTATGGCAGGAAATGGTTCTACATAAAAGCAGTGGGTCAAATGATATTTGGTAAGTACAGTTAGCAATTGGTGAGTAGGAATGGACTTTATGAACTGAATTAAAAGATTATTGAAATTAATTAAAAGAACTGTTGCAGAAAACCATCAGTTTGAAACATTAAGAATTGGTATTGCTTACAGAATACTGTATGTAATTCGTTTCTGGGTTCAATTTAAGATGCTGATTATTTCCTTTAAAGCTCTAAATGACATGGGGCCAGGTTATTTTAGGGACTGCTGCTCCCTGAGGGTATCTACCAACTGAGAGAGATGTTTGTGCTCCATAGCCCTTCTATTAAATATTGCCATCTGGTGAGACCTTGAAGACAACCTTTTCTATGGATGGAACAGCCTGTACTCTGAGATTCAGAGGGTCCCCACCCTATTGGTTTCCAGAAGGCTATGAAGACCTGGCTCTTCAACCCAGGCATTGGACTGTGGAGGTGAAAAATGTAAATGTAGAGTCAGTGATATGTTATGGCATTCTGACGAGATAAATGATAATGTTTGGGGCTTGGGAGTTATATTTAATTTGGTTTTATGGAGGTTGTTGTAAATCACCCAGTATGGACTAGAAGACCTCCAAGGTCCCTTCCAATTCTGTTATTCTGTTCTGCTCTGTCATACTTAAGAAATAAGTTTAATAAATCAATAAACTTAAATAAACACACTTTCAAAACTTAAATAAACTTTCAAAAGAAAGAGCAAGAAAAAAAGACAGGACATCCCAGTAGCATGAGCTACCTAAAGAAACATTGCAGGATTGTTTCCCTCGCCAGAAAAATTCTAAATGTTTAAATCATTGCACTGATCCAAATAAGTGCAAAATATGGGTACTATTGTTACAGGCTTGAAATATCTGCTGATCTTAAGCAGTGATTTAAACAGGATATTCAAAATTTTACAGTCTAGTTCAGTTTTTATACAATTAACCATGAAAAATTGGATTGTCCTGCTAACTCTTTGTAGCCTGAATTATTTCCAAAATTGTCAGTCAAAGTTTCCATCCCAAGCAAACATTTTTTTCTCTCTGAACGATTCAATTTAGACAAGAAACCTATTGTATTTTGTTGTATTAAACACAACTGTTTTAATGATTAAATGTGTCACTTTTAGAAATTGCTAGCATTTTCTATTTGGCAGATTATTTTATTAATTGTGAATATGACCAGCAGAGTTTAAACAGCTTACTAAGCTGCTATGAATGCCATTTTATCTACAAGCTACATAACTGCAGACAGACCATCTGTTATTTGTGTCAATTTATTGTAGAATAACTGATGAACATTGTGTTCTCAGACAGCAATCCTAAAGTTGCTAGTAATGTCTCACAATATGAGATGGGACATAGTTTTGAGTACTGGCCTGCATAAAATTCAGTTCCTACTTGCAGAAATCACTGTGTGGTCATCAGAGGTGGGTTCTACTTACCTTTACTACCGGTTCGCAGTGGGGCCACGTGCATGTCGGGGTCGGTGGGCAGAGCCTCCCGCCAGTTTTACTACTGGTTCTATAGAACCAGTGCGAACCGGGGGCAACCCACCACTGGTGCTCATGCTCCTGAATCTGAGAAATAAAATGAAGAAGGAGAGCTGATTCTAGGAAGATAACCTCCTTGATGCAAGACACAATTCTGTGTTATATAATAAATCTTTGCAGACTATTTAAATCAACTGATAGTTTGTTGGCAATTTTTCAAGAGGACACATTACTTAATAGCTGTAATCATGCTTTCATGACAATAAGGGAAGCAGGGAGAAGAGATAATGTTTTCTAGAAATAGAATGATATTATATGGAAGAAGAAGTAACAATTGTCCTTAATCTAGCTTCTGGGAGACAAAGTGAAGGAATTATCCCTATTGGCATTGAAAAGCATCAGGAACATTAAAAGGAAAAGCTAGCTTTGCTCAGATTTTGAAAAAGCTAGTGCAGAGCCAAAAGTAAACAAACAAGCCTATAAGATGATTCAGAAATTATACAAACTTCCTTGTAGAATTATTTTGACCATCCTGAATTGGTTGCAAAGTATTTCTACTTAGATCCCATTGAAATCAAAATAAAAATTTAAACAAGACATACTACTTTCAGTGGGAATAATATTTACCAAGTTAGTTAAGCTAATAAATTGCTTTTTAAAGAAATAATAATGATGCTAGGAGATGCAACAATCTCCTTATATTTGTTACCCCCTGATATTCTTTGACCTAAAACTGCATCATTTGTTTGATGCAGTTGATGTATTATTTAATAATGCAAGTAAGAGGCCAAATTTATGAATCTTATTGGGATTCACTTCTGAGGAGAAATGTTTAAAATCTGTTTATATTATTTGTGCACAATACAATTGTGAATGAAGACTGGCTTAAATGGCTGTCTCACCAGCTGCAAAGTACACACTGACATTAAATCATTACATTGGAGTTTTTTTAAACTAACAGACTCAAGGTAATGTAGCATTTGTATCTCTGGCTGGGTCTGCATAGTGTGATGAACTATAGTGTAATTTGTTTGGGTTTGTCTTTGGATTTGTGTGTGTTTTATAAATCACAGTTTACAGCTTAGCAAAGTTGAACTAAAGAAGTGAAGAATTAACAAAATAAAATGCTTTGTTCTCTGACTGACTAAAACTTTTATATAAGTTACAGTATGTGAAATAGTAGACAGGATTCTAATTAAATAATCCTCCTGGCTATCCTTCTTATCAGTCTGACATTCATTTTCTGAGTATAAATAAGGTCTTCCATCAGACAGAATACACAATTGCAAATGTTTTTCTGGATTAAGAAAACCTCACATACGCATAGTAGTGGCCAATGGATCAAAGTAATATTTCATTACAATAAACAATAAAACACCACAATTTTTCTGGTATACATGTCCCTTTTACTGTTACAATACTCCACAACTTTGTATAGGCTACAGAACATAACAAGAAATATACCAACTCTGAGGAAATAGAGTACCATGTCTCCTCAGGATTATGTGGTACAATTCTTCCTGAGCTCTAGGAAACATCAGGATCTCTTACAACAGCCTCTGAAACATGGAAGCCATTTCAGTGACTCCTTATGCTTCTAAGATGTCTTTGCATTCCTTCTTGGAAGGATCCCTATCATCAAGATGTACATGATAAACGCAAGAGGAAATATGGGACATTCAAGAAAATAATCTAATTTGACTGAATGTTGGGCTTCCTTTCTGTAAGATATGAAGCTGTCATAACAGTTTTTTCTAAATACATTTATGTAATTATTTTAGCTCAGATTTACTTTTTAGATAGTACTTAAGACTCCTGCCTTTTTTACATAAGTGTGTTAGTGTAATTACATTCAATAGGATTTGTTTCTTCGTAAAAGTTTCAGTAAACTAATTTTGAAAATAATTTACACATAGCCATTTTTGCAACAGTTTTTACATGCACACTTGATATAGTTCCTTCTGTAAATCTCTGTCTACTGCTTTTCTGTGTCCACTGCTTTTCTTTTGCAGAAAGCAAAAGAAAGAGAATTGTTTAAATTCAAAATCTGACAGGTTTTTTCCTCCAAAATGATGCCATTAAGATTAGTAATACATAGAATCTGCAGGCATCCATCAATTTATCTTGTTTCAACAATTCGAATAAAATAGGGTCTATCAAAAAGTGAATATTGATAAAAGACTACATTATTGAGTGCATTACAAAAGAGTATATTATATAAGTTGATAACAACAGGATATGTTGTGCATGCATAAAATTATATCTTTAGGAAAAGTGTCATCTAACAATATATTTTTTAATCTTAAAAAGCCAAAAAAATGATGTATTCTTTAACATCCTTCAGCATCTGCAATCGGGAGGCTCTAAGAGGCAAGATACCAGTTGCAGGAGTGAAAATGAAGACCTGTCCTTTTGTACATGCTTTTGATATCAATACTGGTTTAAAAGGGGAGCAAGACTTTGATTGCACTGTCCCAACTGCCATACCGCTTTCAATATGGATGCTGTTGGATGTAAAGGAAAAATAAATTATTTTATATGACACTGACAGAGGCCTTATTTAATTTAATTTGTTCATGCTGTTATACTGTTCAAATTGAAACTGTGCACACATCATTTCATATTTATCTGCACAGTTGTATTACCTTTCTGACAGCCAGCTACTATATTCACTAAAACAATTCTTCATCTGAGTGATTCCTTCTTCTGACTGTTAAATTTACCTTCAAACATTCTGTGCTCAGAACAGTCCCATATTTTTTCTAGGCAAGAAACAAAGCACAGGCATGTCAAGAGTTTTTATTCAAGATAAGATCCAACCTCACTGTTTTGTTTTCCTCTTGGAATCATTGGTCGGCTGCTTTGTGGCCTCTGTTTGAGGGGTGCTTATTTTCCCAGCCTCCCAGAAAGAGTCAAGTGGATAGTTGCTCTTGGTCTGGACTAGGTGGGTGATGTGGGAATAGCATGTTAAATAAATGGCTAGTGAGGAGACTGCACTTAACTGCATGCCTGCCAGTCTAACTAATAAATTAGTGGCCTTTTAAAAATAACTTCAATGGGAAAGTTAAAAGTTTATTTGGGTGGCGGGTTGCAGTTGTTGTTTCCCTGTATTGTATTTTTATTTGGCAGACATAGCCTTACCTATAAAAGAAAACAAGTGAAGTTTGCTAATGATGTTAGAATTGTGAACACAAAGGCTAATCATGGTTGCTAATGCTGGTGACAATTTAAGTGCAAAGATTTGCTATCCCAATGTTGACCTTTTAGAACACATTTAAAGCAGGGGTGGCTTTACTACTGGTTTGTAATGGGGCTGCACGCGCGAGCGAAGCAAGCGCGCACTCTTCTGCGCATGTGAAGAAACGTTCTGATGATGTCGGGGTCGGTGGGCGGAGCCTCCCGTCGGTTTTACTACCGGTTCTATAGAACCAGTGCGAACCGGGGGCAACCCACCACTGATTTAAAGTACAAAATCTCTATATTGGTTTGTTGAGCTTTGGAAGGGTGGGTTTTTTTTTTTTTTTAGGATTTACCACAAAATGTTGATTTTAGTATGTTGTTATCTGATCTCTATAGTTCTTAATAGTTGTGATAATTTTTCCACTTTATAATAATAATTAATAATGTTATCAATTTCTGGTTGGACATTCTAATGTTTTAAAATTGACCATAATTCTGATTTCTAACTTTCAATTTCTTTTTTTTTAAAGGTAGTGGTGATAAAAAAAATACCTTTCCTTGCTTATCAGCATCTAACAAAAGAAGCTAGACCTAACCTCTAAAAATCCTAGTGCACTGATCCACATCATTTCATCAAAGTTCTAAAGTAAGTATATGCAAACTTTAAGATACAAAGTGTAAATGTAAATGGAAACTTATGAATGATTGGAAACTTAAGATGATTTGCATAATTTTCACATGCTGATATTTGACCTGGCAGCAGAACCTGTCAACAAACATAAAGAAAATTTAATGAAATAGTTAATTGCTCCAAAGGCTTTTAGCATCTTCATTACATTTCCAAAATAGAAAACATGAAAATAATTCTGCTGTGTTTAGATCTCATCATATATATATATATACACACATATATATATACATATATATACACACACATACACATACACATATACATATTTATACACATACATATTCATATACATATATATGTGTGTGCTTACTACCATGGAGAAGTGAGAATTATGTTGTTGTTAGTCACGAAGTCGTGTCCGACCCATCGCGACCCTATGGACAACGTTCCTCCAGGCCTTCCTGTCCTCTACCATCCCCCAGAGTTTAAGCTCATGCTGAGTGCTTCAGTGACTCCATCCAGCCACCTCATTCTCTGTCGTCCCGTTCTTCTTTTGCCCTCAATCATTCCCAGCATTAGCCTCTTCTCCAGCGACTCCTTCTTTCTCATTAGGTAACCAAAGTATTTGAGTTTCATCTTCAGCATCTGGCATTCTAAAGAGCAGTCAGGGTTGATCTCCTCTAGGACTGACTGGTTTGATCGCCTTGCAGTCCAAGGGACTCACAGGAGTCTTCTCCAGCATCATAGTTCAAAGGCGCTCAGCCTTCCTTATGGTCCAACTTTCACAGCCATAAGTTGCAACTAGGAAAACCATAGCCTTGACTATACACACTATTGTTGGCAGCGTGATGTCTCTGCTTTATAGTAGACTGTCTAGATTTGCCATAGCTTTCCTCCCCAGGAGCAAGCATCTTTTAATTTCTTGGCTGTAATCCCCATCTGCGGTGATCTTGGAACCCAGGAAAATAAAATCTGTCACTATCCCCATCTATTTGTCAGGAATTGAGAGGGCCAGATGCCATGATCTTAGTTTTCTTAATGTTGAGTTTCAAGCCAACTTTTGCACTCTCCTCTTTCACCTGCATCAACAGGCTCTTTAGTTCCTCTTCACTTTCTGCCATTAAAGTGGTATCATCTGCATATCTGAGGTTGTTGATATTTCTCCTGGCAATCTTAATTCCAATGTGATTCATCTAGCCCCACCTTTCTTATATGTTCTCTGCATATAAGTTAAATAGCCAAGGCGACAGTATACAGCCTTGCCAGATTCCTTTCCCAATTTTGAACCAATCAGTGGTTCCGTGTCCAGTTGTCACTGTTGCTTCTTGAGCCACATATAGGTTTCTCAAGAGACAAATAAGATGGTCTGGTACTCCCATTTCTTTAAGAATTTGCCACAATATGTTGTGATCCACACAATCAAAGGCTTTAGCATAATCAATGAAGCAGGAGTAGATGTTTTTCGGGAACTCCCTAGCTTTCTCCATGATCCAGTGTATGTTGGCAATTTGATTTCTAGTTCCTCTGCCTCTTCAAAATCCTGCCTGTACTTCTGGCAGTTCTCGGTCCACATACTGCTGCAGCCTAGCTTGTAGCATTTTAAGCATAACTTTGCTAGCATGTGAAATGAGTGCAATGGGGCGGTAGTTTGAACATTCTTTGGTATTGCCTTTCTTTGGAATTCGAATGTAAACTGACCTTTTCCAATTCTGTGGCCACTGTTGAGTTTTGCAAATTTCCTGGCAAATTGAGTGTAGCACTTTTACTGCATCATCTTTTAAGATTTTGAGTAGCTCAACTGGAATACTGTGACCTTCACTAGCTTTGTTCTTGTTCAGACTTCCTAAGGCCCATTTGACTTCACATTCCAGGATGTCTGGCTCAAGGTCAGTGACCACCCCATCATGGTTATCAGGGAGGTTACACTCATTCTTGTATAGTTCTTCTGTGTAATTTTGCCACCTCTTCTTAATCTCTTCTGCCTCTGGTAGGTCATTCTGCCATTTTGGTCCTTTATCATGCCCATCTTTGCATGAAACATTCCTTTCATATCTCTAATTTTCTTGAAGAGATCTCTGGTCCTCTCTATTCTATTGTTTTCTTCTATTTCTTTGTACTGTTCATTTAAGAAGGCATTCTTATCTCTTCTACCTATTATCTGGAATTCTGCATTCAGTTGGGTGTATCTTTCTCTTTCTCCCTTGTCTTTCGCTTCCCTTCTTTCCTCAGCTATTTGTAAAGCTTCCTCAGACAGCCATTTTTCTTTCTTGCATTTCTTTTTCTTTGAGATGGTTTTAGTTGCTACCAGGGGTGAAATCTACTTACCTTCCTTACCGGTTCGGAAGTGCATGTGTCGCGTATAGTCAATCTGATTTCTGTGTTGACCGTCTGGTGATAGCCATGTGTAGAATCATCTCTTGGGTTGTTGGAAAAGAGTGTTTGCTATAACCATCCTATTCTCTTGACAAAATTCTACCAGCCTATGCCCTGCTTCATTTTGTACTCCAAGGCCAAACTTGCCTGTTATTCCGATTATCTTTTGGCTTTCTACTTTAGCATTCCAATCCCCCATGATGATAAGGACATCATTTTTTGGTGTTAATTCTAGAAGGTACTGTAGGGCTTCATAGAACTGGTCAATTTCATCCTCTTCAGCACCAGTGGTTGGGGCATAGACTTGGACTATTGTGATATTTAATGGTTTGCCTTGGAATCGAACTGAGATCATTCTGTCATTTTGGGTATTGTATTCCAGTATTGCTTTTCCTACTTTTTTATTGACTATGAAAGCTACTCCATTTCTTCTGAGGGATTTGTGCCCCCAGTAGTATACCTGATCATCTGAATTAAATACACCCATTCCTGTCCATTTTAGTTCGCTGATTCCTAAGATGTCGATGTTCAGTCATCTCTTGTTTGACCACGTCCAGCTTGTCTTGATTCATGGATCTTACATTCCAGGTTCCTATGGAGAATAGATCTTTACAGCATTGGACTTTCCTTTCACCACCAGATGCATCCACAGCTGAGCATCCTTTCGGCTTTGGCCCAGTTGCTTCACTCTTTCTTGCACTACTAGTACTAGCCCTCTGCTCTTCCCCAGTACCATATTGGACACCTTCTGACCTGAGGGGCTCATCTTTCAGCATTATATCTTTTTGCCTTTTGGTACTGTCCATGGGGGTTTCATGGCAAAGATACTGGAGTGGGTTGCCATTTCCTTCTCCAGTGGATCACGTTTTGTCAGAGCTCTCTGCTATGACCTGTCTGCCTTGGGTGGCCCTGCACTACATAGCTCATAGCTTCATTGTGCTGTGCAAGCCCCTTCACCACACCAAGGCAGTTGATCCATGAAGGGGAGTGAGAATCATATATGTGCTTACTACCATGGAGAAGTGAGAATATCATTATGATAAACAGCTTCAAAGTAGCTAAAAACATTCATGTTGCATATAAAGTAAATTGGCAGACATGAATGAATAGGCTCAGATTATAAGAAAGGATTTTGAGTAAGCTTTGGAAAAAGCTTAGAATAATGTAGGAGACTGGAAGCTAAAATATATAAAGAATATAAAGAACAATTGATGAAATTTGGTATGTCTAGTGTAATGAAAAGAACTAGGGGTGACATGATAGCAGCGTTCCAATATCTCAGGGTTTGCCACAAAGAAGGAGTCAAGCTATTCTCCAAAGCACCTGAAGGCAGGACAAGAAGCAATGGAAGAAAACTAATCATATTTATATAAATATCATTTAGCTAAATGGGTAAACAGACCATATATGATGTAAGTCTCCTTTGTAGAAAAAAATATGTTCCTGAATTATAAATAAAGTTTATTTCATGAGCCATAATTTTTGAGATTTGATGAATCATTGTATGCCTTTTATGTAGAACAGAAGAAGCTGTATCAAAAAACCATAATTACTTTTTTTAAACTTTTAATTGGAAAACTTTAAATAAGTAGACATTAGCTCATATTGTCCGTAGTGTTTAAAAAACCTATGACTATTGTCTGGTCCTAAGTGAGACTTTTGGAAGAAACATTTATTTTGCTAAGAAAAAAATTCCTGTATTCTGTATCAGAGAGAGAAAGAAAGAGAGGGAACTAGAATATGTTGGAAGAAAAATACAGATAATTTTCTTTTCAGATGCATTTCCTGCTTAATTTTATGAAGTCAGGCCTAAATACTAAGTAAACTCAATGATCCTTACTCCAAATACGTGACATGAGCTATATATTTTTTATTAAAAAAAACCAATCTTTTGTACATTAAAACTGAAGAAGATTACAAATAATAACAGAAAACAAAATAAACCTTAGGCAAAAGAATAAACTCTAGTGACCATGAAGGGTCCTTGGTGTTCTCTGAGCTAGGTTTCTTGCAAACATGTCATTAGCCAAAGTAGATAATATAAACAGTGCTAAGGACCATATCAAGACCAGTGACTTGATATGGTCCTTAGCATACTGTTCCCATAAAAAAGAAGATCCTCCAACATACAGGCAAAAGAGCCTGTAGTACAGTGGACTAAAGCACTGTTATTAACATCTGCTGCTTGCAACTACTGCAAGTTCAAATCTCACTAGGCTCAAGATTGACTCAGCCTTCCATCCTTTCAAAGGTAGGTGAAATGAAGACCGAGATTGTGGGGGCAATAAGCTGACTTTGTATAAATATACAAAAGTATGAAGGCTATTGCTTAACACATTGTAAGCCGCCCTGAGTCTCCGGAGAAAGGCGGCATATAAATTAAAGCAAAAAAAAAAAATTGTCACCTTCCTGCAAGTCCAAAAGATATGCTTCCCACTTCCATACAATGAACCAAGACAAGTCTTAGATAATTAATATGTTTTATTAGATGTCTAAAAGTTTAATGTGAACATATATTTATAGCAAGGTAAATCTGTGACCTGGTTGATAAATAAAAATGCTGGTATGATACATTGTTTTAATTGACTGTAAAACCAATAAAACTCCACAATAAATTGGGCTATTTTCCTGTAATGTTATGC